CCTCTGGCTCAGGGTGATGGCATGCCCAAGCTGTGGCTCGTTTGTTTGCAGAGGTTTAGAGGTTCGGATATACCGGCCGCCCCGTTATATTCGAACCGTTATTTGAAAGAGTGAATAATCTCCGATTAGCGCGCGCGGTTGGCTACGTACCGTGCGAAATAAGTTCGACATACGTACAACAACATACAAGAGTAGGCCAAAAAAGATCCCTTGAAATCATTCGCAACAACATGGCATTGTGTGTTGGCGTCATAATCCAAATATCTACGAAAATCACCAAGGAATGTCCTTAATGCTCGTGACGTCACTCCACATCGACCAGCCCCTCTAATTAATGTTCATGAGCAGGTGACGTCCTCCAAATGGACACCCCCCACCCCTCCTCATTAATAATCATGAGCGGGTGACGTCACTCAATATAGAGTACTCCCCCCCCCCCCCTCACTAATAATCATGCGCAAGTGACGTCCTCCACATGGACCCCCCCTCATTAATAATCATGAGCAGGTGACGTCCTCCACATGGACCCCCCCTCATTAATGATCATGAGCAGGTGACGTCCTCCACATGGACCCCCCCTCATTAATAATCATGAACAGGTGACGTCCTCCAAATGGACACCCCCCCCCATTCATAATAATTAGCGGGTGACGTCACTCCACATGGGGGGCCGAGGCGCCTCCTCCCCCCTCCTCGGTGTCAACTCACAACCCTCACTACAAAGGCAGAACCCTCACGTCACGTGATCTCCGTCACGCTGTTGAGACATGGAAGTAAAAAGGACGTCACGATGAACAAGGGATTATAATCTTAAAATTAAATAAGTCTGTGTCACCGCGCCCTTGCAAATTGCACACGCATTAATGCAATGAATATTACGTTGCGGTCTGCTTTTCGCTTACAAGTATCAGATTTACTGTAATACACCCGTCCTTGGACAGGGAAAAAGGCTAGTAAAAAAAACTGTAACTGCAAAGTACTCATTTAAAATATACATTGCAATTACCTCCCCCCTACTGCGAAAACGTGGCACGACCCTCCTGCAAATAGCCATGAGACTATCCTGGGTAAGACAAGTGTCATAATATAAAAAAAATGCCGGTTGTTTTTGGGAAAGTTAGCAGGCTTGCCCCAGCTGGTTACAGCCCAGTTACTTAATATTGCGTCTGGCACACGAGAACTAATGAGCAGTCATCTTAGCTTCTGGATGATCCCTTGGTTCATTCAACAGCAGCCAATGTTGTGCTCAATTAGCCATGTTCATGCATATACAAATGGGCGTAAAGTGGCATGCATACACATGCAGTTTCACGCATTGTGTCTTGTTCAAAAGACATGTGTGCGAGCTTGAAATTTGCTTTGCATGTCGATAGGACATTCCTCCCGAGCAACAATAACATAAAAAAAATAGCAGAATATATTTTGCTATTTAATTAAGCGGAGAAAGCCTGCGACAGGAACACGCTACCATGGGGCCTTTTTAAGGATGTAAAAGTAAAGCAACATGTGGCTGTGCAAACAATTATTTGCCAACGACGGTCAAGAGTTTTGGAGGAAAGACTGGAATGTCAATCAGGACAAAGAGTCTGATTAGCATAAGCAAATTGGTTGTCCATGCTGTCAAGTGTTCTGTGGGCATCGCCGCTTTGATTGAATAAAACAGATCAGCAACGAAGCAAAACACACGTGCATTTTTAAACCGATGGTTTTCGAGAACGTTCACAGTTTGCTTGAATTATTGTTTCTTCTCTTTCTTCTCCTGTAATGAACTTCTAGAATCTGCTAATGAGGTTCTACTTAGATTTAAAGTTTTCGTGACTGCAGGGATTCATCTTCTTGGTTCTTTCAGTAAAGTCAGGTAGAATGGAACAATAAAAATAATAAAATATTATTTTATTGTGTTTTATTTTATTATTTTTATTGTTCCATTCTACGTGACTTTACCGAAAGAACCAAGAAGAAGAGGTTCTACTTATGAAAAAAAAGAGAAAAGCAGTATTCTATCACACTGAGGAAAGTCTGCGTGCTTTATGAACGATGTGTTTTTTGGATAATGTACATTCAACAAGGAAGGTGACACTTACTCTTGCTCCATGTGAAAATATAAAGACTATTCCATCGGCTTATTTATGGGCTTTCCAAACCAATATTATCAAAGCAGCATTTGTTTTAAACAAGCAATCTCGAGACCAGTTTTGACCGTTTGGGGTCTCATCAGCAGAGTCCGGGTTGTTAAACAAAATGGTTTTGGATTAACCAGATGTTGTCGGCAAGAGCATTACATATTACCTACGGGAGTGCCGTTCAATGCAACAAAGTATTGACCTAGGCAAACTCAAAATGCGTTGCCCTTGGAGGATAACGGCTAAAAGCTAATCTAAGCCGAACTCCATTCTGTTTCCACATAAAACCGGCTTTTTGTGTTGCATAAGTTCACAGATGGAATGCTACATTTTTCTATTTGAAATTTCAATGGATGTAAAACGTTCCATTAATATGAAGTTTTTTTTCCTCCAGAGGTCAGCGAGTTGAGACCGTTCGAGTGAGATCCTGAGTTCAAATCTGTGCAGTTGCCCAGTGGATAAACTGGGTTCTCAGGTGCAGCGTGTTCATGTCCTCACGCCGGCCTTCAATGAATGCACAAGAAAGCATCGTATTAAAATCGGATTTGCACTTTATTTGGTTAAATTCCAGCTCAGAGAATTTAACAGAAATTGCTTTGACCGTCATGCTTCAATCTCATTGTGGTAAAGTGAAGGATTTTGATGGATTTTTCTGAAGTCATGAGGAAGATTCCTATTGCGGGTGTGCTGTTGTACATGCGGTGCACTACTCTCAGAGATTTGTCAATAACACTGGTCAACACACGTTTTATGGCATAAGGTATTCCAACGGGTTTAATGTAATTTTAGGGTGCTGATTCCAAATCTGGCATCAGTTTTTGTCTATCACATCAGGTTTTTGAGATATCAAATATTGCATTTTTTATAAAAACTGCAGAAGAAAAATATTAAACAAATGTGGATATCTATATAAAATGATATTATAAACACACTATCCTAAAAATACAGCACCATATTTTAACACTAAAGCAGTCACTGACTCGCAACAACTTGCAATCATAAGTGATAGAGTTAATTTCAGGTAAAATCAATGAAAATGGGGTATGTCGATAGCATAAAATGAGATGTGATAGAGCAAATCTGAGATCAGATTTGGAATCAGCACCCTGAAATTAGTCTAAAACAGCTGCAAAAGTCCAGGCCAGAATTTTTTTTTTTGCTGACCAGTGTTATTTATATACCTCATGGTATGATGCCTGATAGCACAGTTAAAAAAAAACATTGGGGGTAAAGAAGGCACATAATGTAGTACGTTTTCAGTGTTCATCAAGGAATATACTTTGCAATCATCGCCACCCTCCTGGCAGACTCATACCCACATGCAGGCCAGGTACTGATTAATTTTGTGCCCAGAGATCGCTCTGAGATGCCCCTAACATATAGGGTTCTATTACAAAAATACATCACTCTCATTATCATCATTTAACAGCAACAATGAACGTGAGCAGGGGTCTTAAAATTATCTATATCTGTCCGTCGCTATAACGTCAAAGGGCGTACGCATATTTACGTTATGGATACATTTACGAAGGTAGCAGTTACCGTGGCCAACTTTAAGAAATGGCCCAGGTGCGTGAGAGAAACATGCAGTCTGATGTGTGCACGCAAACGTGTGCAACGAAACGCTACTTGGCACAGAGGCAGTGGCGCGCAAGAAGAAGTACTCAATTCATCGTTTATAATTGCCACGACGTGTCAGTGCCACCTTCAAGGTGAAGGTGGCCCCGCATGGACACCGTCGCAGCCACCCACTGCCAACTTCTGTCGAGTTCCACGCGTCATCGGCGGAGCGCTGCAAAGCAATGTCCACGGATGCGCTTCTGCGACCGTCTGGAACGCTCTTCCTTTCGGGATTAGGAAGCCACTGGAGTTCAGCATTTTTCAGAATTTTAATTGAAAACTCACTCTTTAGAACTGCTTTTTGAGTTTAGTTTGTTGTCCTTCCCCCGCACCTCCGATTAGCACGGTTGGCTACGTACAGTGCGAAATAAGTTCTATATAGATACGTAGAAGGTTGGAGAAACTTCACTTGTGGTATAGAAACGATTACAACGTTGTACAACTATGTGATGTTCGAATGCTCTACGCCTTGACTTCAAAGCCAGCCACCATGCAGGGGTGTTCAACCCTCATCTCTGCAGCATCCTTTCACTGTTCCACAAGCACACCTTTACCCAATGTATGCTGAACTTCTTTTGCACCGTACTTCGCTTTTTTTGTTTGTTGTCCTTACACGCACCGTCCGATTATAATCACGGTTGGTTATGTACGGTACGAAAGAAATGCAACATACATACCGTGCTAATCGGAAGTGCAGTGGAAGGAAAACAAACTAAACACAAAAAGCAGTTTTTAAGAAATTAGTTTTCAAATGTCATCCTCCCTCCACACGCTCTCTCTCTCTCTCTCTCGCTCACAGAGCTCGCCAGGCAATTCCATGTCTTCTCCTCCAACATCTCCCCCCCCGCCCCCAAGACACAAAAATCGTATTCCTTTTATCCATAACACCCCCCCCCCCATCATCCCTCCTGTCCATCACTTCCAAATGAATCGTTAATTCCTGATTAATGAACCTCTCATTTAATCCATTTCAATTGATCATTTTGGCTACTCGCTGGCTTTTCCCGTTCATCAGGCCTGCTTAAGAAGAGCCTTTAAACAACCTCCACGATGCTTCTGTTTCATTGCACACATCTAAGCGCGCGTCAGCACATTCGTGGATCGCACAGCGGAGCCCGATGGAGTTGCTGACCAGCAGGATCAGTAAGTGAAGACAATCTTTGATTTTGTTTTCCGTAACAGTGCTAATTTTTTTCTCTCTCTAGAAAAGCTCCACCAAGTCTCAAAAGACTTCTGTTTTTTTTGTCTCTTCTCCAGGAGGGTCCTGCATTGGGATGCTTGTCAAACTCTATTAATGAGAGTTTGCCACGTGGTTGGAAACTGGAGTACCCTGAATAAAATCTACGCATACGAGTGAAAAGGACTTTGGGCGAGGTAAGTATAGCTCAACTTCATCGTTTATTCATAAAGTTCATACTCATAGAGGCTCCACTCCAGAATGCGCCCAGAGTTCTCTCAGGCCTCTTATATATCCTGTACACCCCCCCCCCCCTTTCTAGCAGGGTCTCCTCTTTCTTCCAACCACCTTTCTCCTTTTCCAACGGTTATCAACCGTTCCTTATTCATTTATCTTCCCACCTCTTCCCTTTGCACCAATCTGATTTTAATGATCTGATGCCTTCCAATCAAATTGATGTGGTGGCGTCACCGGCCAAGTCGGTCGTCAGTGGCTCTGATACTTTTAAACTTGGCCTGCCTGTGAAGTCGTTAAGACTTCTGGTAGACCCCCCCCCCCCCCACACACATACACAAGGTTGCCGCCAGTCCTCACCGTTACACGAGGAAATAACACTTGGGGTGTTACGAGTCATCTTCTTATCCTTTCCATCAGCTTCTTTGGCGATGGGGATCCCCCTGCTTGTGTCTGCTCTTTCCTCATTCTCTTGCACTGCTCATGTCTAAACCTTTCTGCTCAATGTCCTTCTTCATTGTGTCTACCCAACACAATTCTTGCTTTTCCTGTTAGCTCCCTCCCATAGAATATAGGAGGTAGTGGATTAGATCCCCACCCTGACACCTGTATATTTGGAGTTTGCATGTTCTTCCCGTGATCGCGTGGATTTTTATCTGGGTCCTCCGGGTTTTCCCTCCGTATTTATAAACATGCGTTTAGAGTATTTGGCTCATATACATTTCCACGTGATAAGCCACTTCGTTGAGCTATCATTTGTAACCAGGTCGCTTCTGAAAATTAGCTATATAGCTCAGTGGGCTTTACGAGGTAAAATATAAATAGTTTCGTTTTTTACTCTTGCTCCATCTACTTCTGCATGCATTGCCAATGTATTCGTTCTGGATCCGATCTTGATACGTACCCAATTCACTGAGGCGTCGATACATTGTATTTATTAATTGAACAATACATGCGTATAATTGTACGTCTAAAGGATCAACGTTGTTATATAACGTGTACATTATATGGAATCCTTTGAAGTGTAACTTCTGCAGCCACTTGTGGCTGCTACATTCACCGCAATGTTACAAAAGAATAAACCCTTAGAAATATAGATAGTCAATCCATCGGCAGATTTAATACACTGAGTCGATACGGAGACAGCCCATTGTTTTTGTCTCAGTATTGTTGTGCAGTTTCCAGACAACCTCGCAACCACGGGCCCATGCCATCTGCTGTGCCACTTGTGGACTCCCATCCAATAAGCAATCAGCCTCAGCCGTGCTTAGCTCCTGAGATTTGGTGGAATTGGACAAATTAACAGTGATTTAGTATTTCACATTGAAGATATATAATTCTAGAGCAACAGTGGCGCCGTGGTTAGCGCAGTGCAATATGGACCTGGATTTAACACGTAGGCTTTCGCGACCAATATTATTCATAATCAACGTTTTTGGGTTTAGATCGCGTTATTTATAAATGTGTCGTAACCCTCCACCACCCGACACGGCCAATCAGTAAAAAAGTGTCATGTTGACAAAAGACAAAATAGTTCACTGCTTTAGCAATTGCCCGATGATGCTGGATGCAATTACCAGCGAAACGTCGTACTCATTGTAAATGTTGTGGTTTCACGCTTCAACACACCGGTGGGCTAAAGCAGTGAACTATTTGTCTTTTGTCAACGTGACACTTTTTTACTGATTGGCCGTGTCGGGTGGTGGAGGGTTACGACACATTTATAAATAACGCGATCTAAACCCAAAAACGTTGATTATGAATGGACCTGGATACCTCAGTTTTATACCTGGCCACGGCTAACATCACGAGCTAGTGCTATCAGAACCAGGTGTGGTTACCCCCCCCCCCCTTCTCCAACCCGGCACTGACCAGCATGGTGAAGTATGGTTAAATAACTTGACATGTAGGTATGTACTATATGTTGAACTGGTGAGGCAATGGATTGACAGAAGGTTGAGTAATATTATACGGTTAATTGTTGTGGGTTGATGTTTTCTCAGAGCTGTTGCAAGCTCATTGCTATACATATTGCCATGTATTATGGAATGACAAATGAACAGACGTCTGTCCATAATGTTAGCAAAAAAGGTAATTCCAAACGCTGATTACTTCCGGAAAATGCCATCCTTAAATCAGCAATCCTAATTAATTTGATTTGAATGTTTTTTTTTATCCCACTCTTCTGTACCGGTGGGGCCAATACAATCCCAGTTGCTGAAGGCATCCGCAAGACGCTGTGGTAGAAAACACCAACACGGCCTGTGTCCCTGCTGAAAGCAAACAATCTTCCGAGAGTTCGCTGAAACAAGGCGATCAATACGGGTATATCTTGAAACGATATGTGGGTGCAACAACCCTGGGGCGTCTCTGTAAAGGAGCGGAATGCGTGATCACTCTTTCATAGCATAAAGCTGTTCCAGTGCTCACACGTCCGAATGAGCTACAGCGTTATTCGAGGGCTGCACATGCAGCGTTTTTTGGTCCTTTTGATGGAACTCGATGGATCGTCGTTGTATAATCCAGATTAGCCCGATTGCTCCTCTCTACATTCATGGCCTCCTTCAGCCATATATTCCATCAAGATCATTAAGATCTTGATTTAAAGCTTTCGTGACTGCACGGATTAATATTTTTGGTTCTTTCGGTAAAGTCACGTAGAAGGGAAATAATAAAATGATAAAAATATAAAACAATAAAAATTCTCACAACGTTTCGACTGCAACACAAGAAATTATAATTCACACCTGATGATGATTCCTTCTGTTGCAGTCGAAACGTCGTGAGAATTTTTATTGTTTTATATTGTTATTATTTTATTATTTCCCTTCTACGTGACTTTACCGAAAAAACCAAGAATATCATTAAGATCTTCAGATAAGGCATTGCTCACTATCCCACGGCCGAGGCTTCACGCCTTTGCGGGGTGACGGTGCCTTCGCAATTGCGACGCCTATTCAAATCTCGACTAAAAACGTATCTGTTTAAAGTGGCTTACTCTCTTTAGTTATTTTTAAACGTCTTTCTCACCTCTTGGTTGATGTTAAGCTATTGCCGCCGTTTCCTGCATGACGATTGTTTAAGGGCGCTTTATAAATGTTAATTATTATTATCATCCCTAATCGAGGTTTTTTTTGGGTTATATCGCGTAAAAATATAAATGCGTCGTTAAAACCCGCCACCACCCGACACAGCCAACTAGTAAGGGTTGTCACGTAAACAGAACGTGGTCAATCCGTCACTAGTACAGCACACCGGTGTGCTGGAGAGCCAAGCCACAACATTTACAATCTGAGTACGACGTTTCGCCATTTACAATCTGTAAATGTTGTGGCTTGGCTCTCCAACACACCGGTTAGTGCTGTACTAGTGACGAATTGGCCACGTTCTGTTTACGTGACAACCCTTACTAGTTGGCCGTGTCGGGTGGTGGCGAGTTTTAACGACGCAGTTATATTTACGCGATCTAACCCAATAAAACCCTCTTATGGATGATATTGGTCGCGAAAGCCTGCTACGTGTTAAACGATTATTATCTCACGCTGAGAGGGGAAGCATGCACGACTCCAATGTGTTCCCGTTGCACCGTGTACTCTTCAGCATGGTGTCCGACGTTTCGCCACACAGTGCTGGGAGTTTCTTGTGGAGCTAAATTGAGCATCGTCATTTCTTCCTAAGCATAGACTTCATCCGGGCACTCTGGTTTCCCCTGGCATGCACGTATGAGTAACAATAATAAACTCGCTTTTCTATAGCGCAATTCGTGCAAGGCCTCTACGCGCTTTACACGAAGCTTAAGTTATGCAGAAAACCTGTTGTTAAACAGGTGAGATTTAAGACGCGATTTAAAAAAAGTGTAACAGATACAGACTAAATCTTGATTTGAAGCTTTCGTGACTGCAGGAATCCATACTCTTTGGTTCTTTCGGTAAAGTCACGTAGTTAGAAATAAAATAAAACAAATCACGACGTTTCGATCGCAACAAAAGCGGTCGCCATCATCGGTAACGTCACGACCGCTTGTGTTGCGATCAAAACGTCGTAATTTGTTTTATTTTATTTTTAACGATGTGACTTTACTGAAATAACCAAAAAGATACAGATTCTTTCATAGGCCAAGGAAGGGAATTCCACAATCGAGGAGGCTGGCTACAAAGATACCTGTCTTCCATCGAACAGAGTCTGGTCTTTCTCTGCTTACACCAGTGTCCTCCCAGAGAAAACACAAACAATATCGTCTGCCTCAACCAATCATTGTCAAGAACCAGCAGCAGCAGCAGCAGCAGCCGGCAACGCTGTACAAGCGAGGGAGATGCCGATAATTCTCACGACACGTTTGGACGCACAGTGCATCCCAAAGAGCCACATCGCAGAGCTATACAGGTCAACTGCGAAACCTACACAGCAGTTGAAAGATAAACAAGTTGCATTTAATTTCTAACGTGCATGTTTAATATTCACATTTTATGAATACATATTTGTAGGATTGACGTGGATCTTTTCTTTTGGATCTCTGTGGAAACATGAGGATGTATTTAAATGCAAACACAGGCACTGTGAATTCATCATACATGCGGTGAATGTATATGTATGCTAAACCTCGTGTGCTGTTCATGTGCTAAAAAAAGTCCATTGTGCTTAATATCGAAGGACACACTTTTGCCAATCCCAAATAATGGTTTTAAATCAAGAAGCAGGAATGTCATCCCACATACCCATGAGTGTGGGCAGCAAACCTAAAGGGAAACATACTGTGAATATTTGAACACTCTGAAAGGGCATAGGTATGTTCCTGAAAATGTCACTCTCGTCGCTGGCAACGCATGGCAGATAATTCACGGGAAAAAGGACATTTTTCTTCATGTACTAGAGAGGGCAGCTTTTAGTAAACATCATTACAATCCGTTGTTCTAATGAGAAAAAATGAATCAAGCACTTGTTTGACCTTGATCTCCAGCTGGCA